GATCATTGAAAAAATACCGTTGAAGTGTTTAGTGTGTGTATCGGGGTGTAGAATTCGTTTTGTAAACTTTTCTTTTTTTCAGCGTCATACGCTCCTTTGTACAGTTGACGACATTTGTCAAAGAAAGTGAATGTGGTCCTAAAAACTATGTTTGTGTTGACAAAGATTTGAACTTTACTTTAACACCAAATATAAACATCTGCGATTTAAAACCGTTGAGATATGTTTCTTTGAAAATACTCCAAAATAGCGCGTTTCCAGGGAATAGCGCACATAAAATAATGGCGTTCTTAGGGAATGCGTACCGTGAAAGCCGCACGAAGCGAAAAGGTTAAAAGCAACTATTAACCCTAAACATCTGATCAAGCCAGCTGGTGCATCTACATTTTGGATAGCGGTCATGACAGCATGAAGTACAAAGAGAGTTAGGTGATACACAGCTCAAACAAGTGAATGACATTCTTACGCAACCCCTTTTCAACAACAAAAAGATACAGTACAAAGGTAATTCACTTTTTTCTGAAATATTGGATGAGAAGAGGAATAAAAAACATTTACCAGGTTTATGACAGGGGACGGGTGAAAACAAAAGAAGAAATGAAACACACAATAGGAAATTATGCAGGCTTTGACTTTGAATATTATGCTCTAATTAGTGGCCTACCAAAATCATGGACAGAGCTACTGAACCAGAACAACACACTGGAACACAGTCAGTGTGCAGCAGTTGTGTGCGAAAGAATTAGTGCTGAAAATCTTCAGGTACTTTGTAGCAACAATCAGAAACTACGACGAATTGTCTTGGGGCGGGAGAAGGTTCAGGTATGCGGTAAAAACTTTTGGTTGAAAAAGCTTGGAGTGGACATAGCAGATAGGTATAGTCTAGCACATATGGCCACGCAAGAATCTCGGCTTCGCCTTCTACATTTTAAAATACTTCACAATATATTCCCAACAAATATCTTGTTGAATAGGATGGGCATAAAATCTTCAGAACTGTGTGAATACTGTGGTGTAGCAGACTTTGTCGAACATATGTTTATCCACTGTTCACGATTAAGGGGTTTTTGGAATCATGTGTTTCAGCTGATCTTCCAAATCACAAATACACATTTTCCAATGACAGACGCCAATATTCTACTCGGCGTGAGGAAGGAGGGTGGAGTAAATAATAGTGTAGTAAAAACAGCAAATCATATTATACTGATTGCAAAAATGTGCGTCAGTAAACTGAGGTATGGTGACGTAAAGTATATGTTTCATATTATTTGATATTGAATTTGAACATAGGAAAAAGTCTCTGTAATATTCAATATCACATATTGCACTCTATTTAAAGTAAAACACAATGCATATCGATAACAACTTTTCCTATTATTTTCCTTATGCTAGCGGCGACCTTATTTCCATATTTATATATCCATGTTCTTGTTTCAAGGAGCTGTACCTAGGGTTCATCGATAGCTCGTGTGGTGGGGAGAGCATTGTTTTAATATATGCTGCTTGCAGCACAGCACAAATAATCTGAACGAAAGGAAAAGGTAATGCACATTTAGTTACATAGTATTATAAAATAGCATTGTATTATAACACTGTTCAATACCCCTTTAGTCATAGTTAATGGACGCCTTATGTTTGGGAAGAAAGATGGCAAGTCTCTATAGTATAACCATTCCCTCAGCACCCTGTTCACCATATTATAATAAACTCTCACTTTATATACATACATGATATGTATATATCTCTCTTTCTCTCTCTCTCTCTATTCCCTTCTTTCCAATCCGCATACTCTTCGCTGTGTCTTTCTATCGCTATCTCCTTCTGTCTCAATATGGCTATCTACCTATCTGTTTAACTTCCCCAGCCCCATAACTTCATTTCATCGCCGTCTTATTCATTGCCCACCACTAAGCCTTTCCTATCTCGCCACCCCCCCCCCCTACTGTCCCTCCCGCTCTCTCTTTCCCTCTCACGACTCTCTCTCTCTCTCTCCTCTCTCTCTCTCTCCCTCTGTGTGTGTGTGTGTATCTCTCTATCTCTGTCTCTGTTTCTGTCTCTCTCTATATCCCGCTTGCTCTCTAGTCATTTCTAACCACTAAAACACATTCAGCCAGCATTTCCATAAAATTGGCTTTTTTAAATGTAGGAATTGCTTCCAACGTTAGCAATGGAAGTATAGATCTACCAATAATGGACGAGACTGGGAGGATTCAGACATAGGGTACTTGATTTGGGAGTTTGAGGTCGCTCCCCCTGAGGCGAGGGGATACAATATTCTGTGTAAATTGTGCCCTCTCGACTTGGGTTCGAGGATCCTGCGTCAGAATCTTTCCAAGCTCAATTGGACTCGAAAAAAATACTCGGGGCAAAGGATCAGGGAGTAGAATGCTGCAATTTTAAAGATCATAATCTGCCAACTTGCTATCTACAACCCGCTTACAAATACCCCCAACATACCTGCCACTATACTGTCTTCCCACTTAGCTCCTCTCTACACTTGTTTTGGCCCGATAGAATAGGCTAACACTAACGATGTCACCTTAGCAGAGACTGAGCCCACCATTTCGGAACTTCATGGTGACCGTAAAGATGGTTCCAGTAAGAACGTATATCGATTGCTCTGAGTTATGCTCCATCATACGTCACACTAGGCAGTTGATATGCGCAAAAAGACAACCACTGTCGCTGCTGATCAAACTTAATGTTGAAAGAAGAATTGAACTAGCTGGTAAAATAGAATCTCCCCCTTCCTTTTATTCGATACCTTAGAGTACTAACCCAGAGCTGTGACCTACTTCCCCATGACTGTGACCTACTTACCCATGACGGTGATTTTCTTGTCCTGATTCTTCACGCTGATCAAGAAGCAGGCGCCGAAACATGCGGCCAAGGCCACCAGCAGGAATGGGGAGGTCAAACTGAACAAGACAATACAAGGGGAGAAAACCTTACTTTGATTTTATTCCTCAGAGACCAACCCAGACTTTATTTTGTGGGTGGTTGGTGATAGCTCAAATGTGGTTTGCTCCTTCTTTCCTATTAAACATCTATCGTCCTTATCTCTCATCCTTCTCCTTTTTCGTGTTTCTTACTCTCTTGTAATACCTCTAATCTTCAGCACTTATATGATCTTATACATTTGCAAGTGCCATAAAACTCTTACTTAACTTTACTAAAGACCTAACTTCACTTAAAGGCTGGCAATGAAAACCAGACAATCTCAGGTATACATACATGATAAGCTATATAGGCACAGTCGTCTTGTTACCAAAGCTGTATCTATTTCAAAATATCTTTTTGCAAATTTTCAGCTTTATCATTATTACTAAGCAAGAAATTTAACTTTGTAAAGGCAAAGATACACACTGGCAAAAAGTCCAAGGTTAAATCACACACAAAAAAATGATCTCCATTATTATATGATGTGACAGCAAGGTGGGAAGAAGGAAAATAAGGACGATGTGTGATAAAAATTTGCTACTGAATGGAAATTTGGGGGGTGGGGGGATTTATAATAAACAAACAATACAGAAATGCGATTTATAACTATCTTCACTTATGTTATTAATGCAAACCTCTTACTTAATAATAATAAATAATAGATAGCATTTGTATAGCACAAATCCCCGCTCAACAGAAAGCTCTATGCGCTTTACAATCTATACTATTACCCCAGCAGACCTGAGAGCATTCTGAAACAAACTCAACTTCTTGGGAAGCATGCAGTGCAAGCTGCCATTTATGGACACTAAAACACCATCATACTGACAAGATTTTTTTGCTGTCTAAAGCCGGGTACCCATTCCCACCTGGGTGAGGTGAGGAACATTCATTATAAGTACCTTTCCCAAGGACACAACGTCGGGCCCGCGGCTCGAACCTCTGACCCCGAAACCTCATGATTACGAGTCCCATCATCCAGTGCCAGACCTGCGACAGACATCGGCCATCGTGGTTCTCCATTCATTCCTTTGCTCGGATGCTCTCAAAAAAGCGACGTTTCCCTGATCTTTCCCTGTAACCCATTTATTTAGGTTCCCTAAGAAGGTTGCCTTGCGCCTACCCCTGCCTCGTTTGCCTTCAATTTTGCCATTGAGAGCGAGATGTTCAAGACCCTCATGTCTATTCAGGTGTCCCAAAAACTGCATACATTTTTCACTTCCTGATTGTTTTTAACAGTCAGCGTCCCACCTGGGCTTCATCAAGCACTACCTCATTTGATTTCTTTTCCTTCCATGATCCTTGAATCTTACTTCTGAATACTTTTGCATAATCTCGCGTAAAATATTGGTTGTACATATATACCACACCCGGCACCTGTGGTGTAGCAGTTAAGCACTTCACTGTCGCACGCAGGGGACCCATTTTCGATTCCAAAGTGGAGAGAACATTTTTATTGACTACCTCTATCTTTCTGCTGGATGCTGTACTTCTCTCAGACAAGGTTGACGTTGTAAAGCAGGGTCAGAAGCCCGCCTCCTAAATGATCTAAATTGTATTGCTGGGGGTGTAAAAACATCCTACTTTAAAAAAACAAACAAAAAAACAATACATGACACATACTTACATGCAGAAAACGACAAGACCCATGAACACAAACAGGTAATTTCCCTGAAAAGTGTCGATGTTCTTCACAATTCTTTTGGGCACCGGAACGATGGATTTTGGCACGCCAAATCTCTTGGTGTGGACAAACTCTGCCCATGGCCTGACGCTCTCCCTCGTCTTGGAGAACCACTCGCGGGCAGACGCGTTAGACAGGGACAAGCTCATCATTCTCAAGGAAGAAAAAAAAAGAAACCAACGATAAAAGAAGAAACTGATAAAAATAAACAAGTCAGAGACCACAGATCTTTAGCATTAAAGCTGAGCAACACCTTATGACACATTATTTTCTATTGAGAAGGGCCCTTGTCACGCCTTGTGTGAATGGGTCATTGAGGGAATTTTGAAAAGGAGTAATCATTATATATAGCATTGTCACTAAAGCGGCCTAAATTGGTAAAGACAAAGTATTGTTCTGTAGAATTTCAGCGATTACTGTGATCTATTCTACATTCTTCATTTAATCTCCTCTTATCACTTATTAATTGAATTTGCCAGAGATCACTACATGGAAATACCACACGCTGTGCGACAGAAGTGTGAAAATGTGGCGGACTCACTGTCACCAGAGGGTAACCAAGAGGAACATGCAAATTTATAGTAGCATGATTCTTTTCATAAAAGCACACCAATACAAGTGAGAGAAATTGGGGCATTCACTGTAGAAAACATTCTTCCGATATCTTCAGTAAAAGTTGAGTTTTATTGAAGAAAGAAAATTGGTCAGTAGCGAGTCTGAATCCCGTTTTATTTATGGACCAATATTCAAAAAGTAAAAAGCATCTTGCCGGAGAAATAATCTAGGCCGATTACTATATTTACTATTAAACACATGCTAGGCTGTGCACTAGATTCTAAACTTACACTAACTCAAGTTACTAGGCCTATAGACGTTTGTTAAAATTCCGATTTGCATTTTTCATAGGCCGGCACTATTTCTCCGAACGTTCGGGAAAATAAAGCTGGGCACTATTTCTCCGAACACTCTGAAATCACATCATATTATACAAATTTCGGATATTATATAGGCCTACCAAAGATTGTTCGTATACAATATGGTTCAATCGGTCCAAAAAATGTCCGCAATAAATATTTATATAAAGAAATGCTACAGTCCCAAACAGTTTTTCGCTAGAGATATGACGTGTTGCCTATGAAGGGTATGCTGCTCTTAAACTTTTAATGTGTTGTGTTCACTCGTGTGCTGTCTAGATCTAGATCTATCGAGGGTTATTGATAACGACACATAGAATAGAACTAGTATCTGCGTTTTTCGCGGCCGCAGTCAAATATAAAAAAAAAAGAAAAAAAGAAAGAAACCGAACCTCTTTACTTTATAAAAAAAAAAGAAAAAAAGAAAGAAACCGAACCTCTTTACTTTTGAAAGAAAGTTCACCTAGCTTCACTTCGTCTCTTTCTCACTTGTTGTCACCACCTTGATTTGTTGAATACGTTACATGCAGCTACTTTTATTTTTCCCTCTTTGTGGTGTTTTATTTTGTTAGTGTGTATTTTTTTCTTTCTTGTAATTGTTCTGATGTGTT